GCAATGTGTTCCAGCAAAAATAGTGCACATCTTTATTAAATTTGGTGCATTCTGCTAGTTCGGTACATAGCCTGGCAGCTTGCTTTATGATTGCCCTGCATTACGACGAAACCTCATTACGACGATCATTTTGCGATCGCAAAATGATGGTCTAAATGGGGATTTTTCGCTTTGCGATGATCGGTTCCCTGCTTCGGAAAACGATTCTTCGCAAATTGACATTTTTTAAACAGCTGATCGCAGTTTCAAAATGGCCACCAGGTAAACAAAATGGCTCCCCACTGTTTTCTGGGATGGATTCCTCGCAAGATAGGCAGCGAAAATGGCTGCCCTATGGAGGATCTTCGCTGGACAGTGAGTTTTCACCCCATTGGAACGCATTGAAGGGGTTTCAATGTGTTTCAATGGGTTTTTTTCGCATTACAATGTTTTCGCTTAATTTATTTATTTATTTATTTATTTTATTTATTCAATTTATATGCCGCCCACACTACCCAGAGGTCTCTTAATGATGATTTTCCTGGAACGGATTATCGCCGTTAAGCGAGGCACCACTGTACTCATTTTCTTTGTGATTTAGATCTCTAAGTATCTGACTCTCTTCTCTTCTTGAAAGGTAGTCCTTTCTATTAATTTCTGTCGTTCTTGATCTCTCATATTTTTAACAAGTATTTTTGTTTTCTTTTGGTTTATTTTCATTCCTGCCATATCACCAAAATTCATCAGCATCTCCATCAGGGTCAAGAGCTTAAACCCCCTAGTGCAGTGGTCTCCAACCTTTCCAAACCATGGACAGGTTGGGGGGTGGAGTCCATGCATGGGGGGGACACCTGTGCACATGTGTGGGTGGGCAGGGCACCTATGAATGCGTGGGTGGGGCACCATGTGTGCATGTGGGGGGCACGTGTGCGTGTGTATACATGTGGGGGGCAGGAGACCTGTCTCTGTGCCTGGTCCTGCCAAGGCCAAGACTGATAAGTCACTTCTGAGTGCTTTATACCCAGAAGACTTTGAGTCATCATGAGTCAGAACATACTTGATGGCACATAATTATTAACTACACTGTGTTTGCCACTAGATGGAGTAGTGAATGCTGTTTTACTACTTCACTATATGCAAAAGTAACAGAAACTGAAAGTTAAAAGTGAGATAACTACCGGTAGTTGACAGCAGCTCCTAAAAACACTATCAGAACTTGAATTGGAAAACGACATACAGTATTTGGTAAGGTTACATTTCATGATGTTTGTATTTATTTTTAAAGAGTGTGGCTGGGAGTACAGATATGGACTGAGCAAATTGGTTGTAACCTGCAAACTTTACAGGGGGTGTGATAACAGTGGGAGCAGCAGTATGAAGGAGCCACGGCAGAGGATGATGAAGGAAGCTTCAAATGCTCATCTGGGCCTGAAAGCAACCTGGAAAGCAGGTGGTAGCACTGGTAGTACCAATGGTAATACCACTCGGTTCTTGTTACGCATGTTGAGCCCACCCCTGGTGGCCAGTTCTGAGGAGTTATGCCCACAGTTTTGCATATTTATCTTTTTAAACAGTTAAATTTTTAAAAGTTAAAAGACGTATTTTCATTGCCCCAAGTCTTCAAAAAAACCTACTTCCTCAGCCCCCTGCCATGGAGCAGAGTAAGCATTTAATTACCTAATATCCCAAAGTAGCTCTCTTATTAAGGCACTTCACAAAATTAGCAAGTCAAATGTGAAGGCGTTTGATGCATTCCTGCACCAGCTGGAAAAGAACAAAAAGTGACTCTACCTGCACAAAAAATGTAGCAGTCCTTAACAGAGGCCAGGAAGTGCAGACAGGAAAACACTGAGGGCAAGCTGGTTTACACCAGCAAAGATGTCTGATCACTGACTTTAGGAATAAACTAGCCCATCCTTGCAGCAGACAAACTGAATGTCTCTGTAGTCAAGCCTCTGAGTTGATTTAGACTTTGTCCCAGTCATGTATACATGGAGTTTGCTCTCTTAGTATGTTTATAGCATTTCTGAAGAGAAGCAACATATGTTCAATGTGTCGTCAGCCTCCGAGTTGATTTAGACTTTGCCCCAGTCATGTATACGTGGAGTTTGCTCTCTTAGTGTATTTATATTATTTCTGAAGAGAAGCAACATATGTTCAATTTAATATGCCTTCCATTTTAATCTTAACAGTCACCCCAAGCTCTCTGGATTAGCGTTACCAAGAGGAGACAAAAGGAGCTTCCCCAAAGAACGTGAGGACTGTGAACACATTTAGGTATCCCTTGGGCAACAGGAGCAGCTTGTCAGCAGATCCTTCCACTCAGGAAGCACCACTGGATTGCTTCCGACACGAATGAAGCAGCAGCATTAACAGAGAAAATGCCCTTCTTCCTGAAAACACTTCTACCTGAAAAAGACTTCGAAGAAAACTTTAATAATACATTTCAACCCCACAAAACATTAGTGTTGTTTAGTCTTAAAAAAGATAAAAGTTCTCTTTGGAAAACATGGGGCTATGCATATAATAACCCTAACAACGAACATGCTGAACATTTGATTTTGGATAATGTTGAAATATATATCCAAGAAAACCAAATCAAAGGGAGACATACACTGACATTGTTCATGTCATATACTCCTTGCCGTAAGTGCAGTGCTAGGATAAAGTATTTCTTGGCATCAAGAAATGACCTATGCATGGATATAAAAGCTTCAAGACCATATTTCTTTGAATATAAAAGTGAACAAAAGGGTCTCTACCTTTTGAAGAGCTTGGGTGTTTCCATCAAAATGATGGACCAGTTTGACTACGAACAATGCCTTCATGAATTTGTGGACCCATCAAAAAAGTTAACCCCATGGTTGGGTTTAGAAGAACAGAGCAAAAAAAATGCAGATGATCTGGAAAACATTTGGAAACAGGTAAGATGCAGGAGACATTTACAATGGAGAATCTATAATACTTACAGCCACAGCTTTTTTAAAAAAGGTAAAATCACATACCAAGACTGAAATCCTCTTGCACAACTTTAAGCTACACAGCAAGGATGCTGTCATCAGCTGCTGCCATGCCATGGCCATTTAAGGGCAATAAAAAACTTCTCTCTCACACACACACACAGGTTCTCAGGATTCCTTGGGAATCTCTTTCATCCTGGGGAAGCCTTCGGGAACTGCAGAACAAAGGAGGGGATAATTTAAAGCTGGAAAATCACCACCACTATTCCTAGCAGAAGTATTGGGATCGATGACAGCAATTTAAATAGTTCCTCCCCATTTTTGCAGCTCCTGAAGGCTTCCTCAGGGAGACTAGAAAGTTTTTTATTGCCCTGAAATGGCCACACCTGATTACATCATCCCTATTACACAACACTGCTCTGCCAGCAGGATTTTAGTCATAGAAGGTTGTTCAGTTGTATGAACTACTGACTTCTAAATGCTTCTAGCTGCCCCGAGTAGACATGGTCTAGAGGGGCGGGGTAAAAATCAACACTTCTAAATGCTTGTGACAATAGGACTCTCCGTACAGGATTTCCCTTTGGTTCCACCTTCTTCCCAGTAAGAATATAACAAAATATTTCTAACTCGTTTAAAATATGGGGGAAAACTGTTCATTTGAAAGATAGTAATGAAACAACAATTTCTTAGGCGTTGTCCATGCAGTGTTTTATTTTTCCAACTGCTTAATTTATTTTCAAATTGTTGCTTCTTATATTAAGCCTTGGTTTCTGTTTTCAAAATGGTATCCATTTTCACCACCTCAAGTAATTTTTCTCTGCTTGTAGTAATATAAGCATTTATATTACTGCAAGCTACTCTGCTACCTGCTGTATTTCCAGTAATCCATGGCCTCCAATTTTTTGTGGTAAATATAATCTGTCTACATCACTTTTGGATGTAGTACATGATGCATGGTCATTAGTTTCCATATTTTCTGATCCAATTCTTCTAATTCATTTTGGGTCTAATCTATTATTCCAGCGGGATATCTAATTATTGTAACTGCCCATGTGTTCATGGCCTTGATTGTATTTCTGCCAATTAATGTTGATTTTACAATTTTCTGCAGGCTTTTGAGATATTCCCTTTCTGTCAGTTCTTTAACTTTTGTGTGCAGTATGTTACCTGCTTCTAGTATTTCGAGGTATTTATAATTTTCATCACATGAGAGTGATTTTATAAAATTTTCTAACTCTACTCCATCTAATTTTTTGATCATGCCACAGTGTATAGACAGAGCTGCACATTTGTCAATTCCAAATTTCATTTGAATATCTTCACTAAATATTTGCACTATGTTTAGAAGTGATTCCATCTCTTTTGAACTTTTTGCATACTTTTAGGTCATCCATATATAGTGGTGCCTCGCATAGCGATCGCTCCGTTTAGCGAAGAAATCGCTTTGCGACAAACATTTTGCGATCGCTTTTGCGATCGCTTTGTGATGTTCCCTATGGGGTATTTTCGCTTTGTGATGACCAATTTTCACAAAGTGACAATTTCCGCACAGCTGATTGACAGTTTCAAAATGGCCACCAGGAAAAAACATGGCCGCCCGCTGTTTTCTGGGACGGATTCCTCGCTTAAGAGGCACCAGAAATGGCCGCACTGTGGAGGATCTTTGCTGAACTGTGAGTTTTAAGCCCATAGGAATGCATTAATCACGTTTTAATGCGTTTCTATGGGCTTTTTTATTTCGCATTGCGACGTTTTCGTTCAACAGCAATTTCGCTTGAACGAATTGACGTCGCAATGCGAGGCACCACTGTATAACAGATGATTGACTTTTCCTGCTTGTTCTGAAATATGGTAGCCCAATCCAGCTTTATTTAAAATTATTGACATGGAGATTAGGAAGATGTTAAACAGCAATGGTGACAAAGATTCTCCTTGAAATATTCCTCTTTTGATGCTGACTTCGCCAATTTCTTCATCATAGACCATTAAGACAATTTTCCATTTTTCCATGTTTGTCTTGAGGAACTTCTGAATATTTTTACTAATCCCAAAAAAATTTTTGTCAGCTGTGTAGCAATGAGACAAATGCCTTTTTCTAGACTATCCAGGACATGTTAAGATTTGTTTTTCCTTTTTTGCATTCTTTAGTATAATTTTATCAATTCAACATGGGCATGGCTAAAACTGGGGACCATTAAGAGAGAAACCAAAGGCTTGATTTTTGCTGCACGAGAACAAGCACTCCAGACCAATATGATGAAAGCTAAGATTCAAGGAATTAGCACTAGTAGCAAATGTCGACACTGCCAAGAAAAAGATGAAACTGATGAAACTGTGTCACACCTCATCTGTTATTATATAGATAAAAGACTTTTTATTTACTTCTCTCTTTACAGTTTAAACATATTCTCTATGTATTATAGATAGGTGGTTATTTTTACACAAGTTCCAACAAATATACACTACTTTTTGATAACATCTTCATAAAAATTGATCATTTCAGCTCTAACAGCACAATTCTTACTCTAACTGCTTCAGTTCTCCCTCTGACTCACATCTGACTCTGATGTAGTCACATATGACTACTCCACAGTTTGCAGTCTCAATTCTGTATCATAGTCTCTCTTACTTACACACACACACTAATACCAAATAGCCACCCACCAACCAGGAGTCATACCAACCAATCACCTCACAGTTCCATTCACAAATATTCTATCAAACTTCTCAACTGTTCTGTCTCTCTTGAATCACATCCAACCTAAAACTGACAATCACTTAACATGCATACAAATATAAATCTATAAACAAAGATATTTACAATGTAGAAGTGCCACATTGCCATGTATGGATGTATTTGATATTCAGCATGTCATGTAAAATAGAAAATGTTTAAAATACTGGTTGATGTTAAAGAGAAATCTGTGTTGGATAACATGAAAGAGAAATTGACATCAGCATTTCTACATAAATTGCCATAGGTTTGTGAAAAATATGCATATGTTCCAACTTCACAAAACAAAGTCTCTTATATATACGTATTCCTGACCCAATGTATAGTTTTTGTCCCAGGAAGAAGAAAAGGAGACAGAAGGAAATGCCAAGATAATTAAAATATCAAACCACAACAATATGATTGGTCCACAGAACATATCAGGTAATATCAATATTTTATTAAAAATAATAAAAAATTGACTAAGCAACATTTTGTATAAAGAGATTTTAAAGAGTAGATCAGCAGTTGGAACATTACTTTTGATACTGCTAGTTCAATGTGAGTATTTGGAGGCACACCACAAGATTTAACAACCTCCTTCAGCAGAAATGAGAGGACAATCCTCGCCTCATTCAGCAACTAGTGCACCCCCAAAACTTGCTCTGAAGGGCTAGAGAACTCTCTGGAGCCAGTCTTTGAATGATGCAGAAGGCTACGAAAGGAAGCAAAAGATAGTTCTATTACATCAGTAGTTCACATCAGTATGACACTAGATGTAGGTCGAAGGGCTTATATTTCAAGGACCACATGTACTGAACAGTAAATGTGTCTGCAAGTACACAGAGGACTCTGTTGCCTGCAGTGGCTTGCAGTTGTAACTGCTTTTGGATAGACATAGCAAAACAAGGTTTGCAACATGGGCCAGACATTTCTAGGGACATTGCAAGGCAGTTAATACTGGTTACCACCACCTATCCTATGAATAAACAAAATACACATGCACAGACAAGAGTATATTTTTGGGTCATGAAAAAAAAGACAAAAATAACACGATTGTTTACATTTTTATCCCATCCAGCTAGTAGCAAAGCTACTACTCTGGGCAGAAGACACAGCAAAACATAATAGTAGAAAAGCAATAAAAAAGGCAAAAGAATAGATTCCCAATTCCAGGACCACAATAAACATGGTCCTAGGGTGCATTAAACAAGAGAGATACATAGGCTGGAAAAAAATTCATGGCAGGTGGACCAAGAGGGATACATAACATTACCTTGGGGCAAACTACAGAAAGGCTTGGGAGCACAATCAGGTCTTAAGTTGCCTCCCAAAAGGGACTTATTTTGTATTTTTCCAAAGTTTTGACGATTATTACATTTCATATTTTAAATGGTTTTAGTCTGCACTGAACAACAGCTTGGTGCCCAAGACGTTTCCAGACCACATATTATTCTGGATGGCCAAGATCACTATGATCAATCACCAACTAAGGATGGCACATGGCTCTCAACACCAGAGACTCCTCAGAAACGAAAGAGTACTGACAGAGCAACAGAACCTGTCCCAGGAGCGAAAAGGAAACTTGATTTCTTAGAGAAGTAAACAAGAACTTTGTCACAACTCTGTGAAAATGCCCATTTCATAATATTACAGGCTTGAATCTCAGCTCATGAAATTAGATAGTAGAAGATTATGATGATGATGAATGTTAGTACTGTATCCTTGATAGCTCACTCTGTAACACCAAATAATAATTCTTGCTGCACTGCCCTAGGTAGAATTATCACAGGGTTGCCACAAGTTTTGCCAAATGTTTTCCAGAAAGGAACTGTACGTTTCTGGATGCAGGAGAGACATGTAGGTTTCCTGGCACTAAGATACTGGAACAGGAAAGCTTTCTCCTGCTGAATTTCTGTAACCTCTCTGATTCAAGCCTCCTAGTTAAAACATGTATTTGTAAATCTACTCTTCCCTTTCAAGGAATACTGATTGGTTTCTGTCCAATGCATGCAGTTGCTTAATTTCCTTTGTATACAAGAGACAGCTGATTATGAGTCAAATGTATAGCTCATCTAGTGAAGATAACCATAATTTTAGCAGGCTTGGAAGCCCAAGAACTCTGGTCAGAATTTGGCTGAAATCTGTCTTTCATACCGTGTTTCCCCAAAAATAAGACGGGGTCTTATATTAATTTTTGCTCCATGTGATCAGGTTCAGTTTCAAATTTTGACAACTCATTTTGCGCGGGAAATATCACAGGAGACGTCTTCTTAGCTTTTACATTTTTGTCTTTATTGCTTATACAAGGATCAACACTGATCATAATCGGGTCAAAACAACTTAACTCAGGCAATAAGCCATAACTGTCTGATGCGAACTCCCGCCCAAAGTCAGTCAAACTCACAGGGGTGCCGGGCCAAACTTCTCCGCGTTGGTGGGTTTCCGGAGGGGTGCACTCCTCACTGCGCAAACTGTGCTGCAGCATGGTTGCCGGGCCCAATCCCCCCCAGATGGAGGAGTATTATATCTTGAATCTGGTCTTATCACCTGTTGTCCTCTCCCCTTTCCCTTGGGGAACACGATCACCGACCACTCCAAGGTTTCATATTTCACTTCTCCTGACTCTTTAAGTGGGGGTTCTGGAAGCAAACCCCCTAGCTTCAGATTTGCAAAGTCCCTGAACAACCCCTGGGTTTTCACTCTCTCATACTCTCGCAGTCTCTCCAGCTCTCTTTTGCGCCTCCACATGTCCAATTCCACCTCAAACTGCCACTCGCCTTGGCTACTTATACTCTCCTCCCAAACTGACAGTTCTTGCTCCTCCCCCCTCCGACTCCCGCTCTCTTCTAACAGGCATACTTCCACCTTCCCCCTTTCTTTTGGCTCCCCCTCTCTCTTCCTCCTTAGTCATGTTTTCCCTTGAGTCCGACTCTACACCAATACTCTCCTGTTCCGATCCTCCCGCTACACCCTCTGTCTTGTGAGACGGCACACTCTCCTTCGGACTTCCTTCACACTCCAAAAAACACATTAGGGTTTATTTTCAGGGGATGTTTTATTTTACAGTCATTTCATCTTCAGGTTGCTGCACAATACTGCACAATGGTGGAGGGCGGGGTTTCACTTAACTAGTGCTTATTTTTGGGGTAGGGCTTATATTACGAGCATCCTGAAAAATCATACAGTACTAGGGCTTATTTTCAGGTTAGGTCCTATTTTCGGGGAAACAGGATATTGGACTACAGTATATCACCACTTGAAAAGAATAACCTTAGCACCGACTCCATTACATTCTCTGGACTGGCTTCAAGCATGTTATTGTTTTTGAAGCACTTATTTTCTTTACTAATTTGGGTCTGCAAAAACTTCTCCAATCACATTAATATTGCACCTTATGAGCACGCCATGCCCATCTGCAGATGCCCATGAGTGTGACACACCCACCCACGAGCACGCCTCACTCACCCAGGCATGCTTGTGAGCACACCACACTCCCTGTGAGCGCACCCCACCCCACGAGCAGGGTGGTGGCCTGCCCCCCTGTGCAAACCCTCCCCCCCCAACCAGTCCACAGTTCGGAAAAGGTTGGGGACCACTGCTGTAAGCAGTGTTCTGTGACTGAGTTCCTTTGGGTCTTCTGTGACATATTTGCTTTAATTTACTGTACCTTCTGAGTTCTGCATGTAAAAATATATGCACTGTATGTTTACCTTATTATTCCATTGCTTTTTAATGTCATCATGGAACTATTTATTTCCAGTAACGACATATAAATTGATAAACTTCTAAATTTGAAATAACAGCAACCATTTTAATTACAAACATTTTGCTAATATGAAGTGTACAATTCATGAAAATGGGCTGCCAAGAGGTATGCAAGTGAAAAACATGCTTTAGATGTTTCTTGCCCTGCAACTTCTATCAGTGTTAGCCAGCATAGGCAATGCTGAGGAATTTCATCTGGAGGACTGCCGTTGCTCACTCCTGGTCCACAACAGTAAAGCATTAGAGAAGCAGATAAAATGGTGCAAAAAAGAAACAGATTTGCCATTCTTTAAGTGACAGATATATTGTACAGTAGCCAAGATGGCTATGTACTATTTTAATTATTTTAAATGAAGCTATAAGATTTATTGGAAAATCTGAAAGACAATTTGTTTCTTCAAATTGTCTGGCAGAAAATTAGAGAAATAAAGATAAAATAGGGTTTCACTGAAGGTTCAAGGCAATTCTTGGCCTTTATTAGCAATTATGAGAAAGAATTATGACGCTAGGCTTGCTGTAGGCATTTACCAATGCTACAAGAGGCACCATCTGCAGTCCTGAGCAACTAGTTTCATTGAGCTTTGGCTCCTCACAGCTGTCATTCAGGAGTCATTCCATCAAGCTGTAGAAGAGACAGAAAGCAGGGCCAGAAAGGTCTGCAGTCTTTGCCTCTGTTTCCATGGCAACCCATTATGATAAGAAAGCCACTCGAATTTGACTGTATTCCAGCACAACCACTGTGTTATATCTAATTATATAATCCATAAAATATTAAGAATTGGTCTGTGGCTAAGAATTCTCTTTTTCCTTTTCTATCCCTATCCCCCTTTTATTTTGTAATGTTTCTCTTTAGATTGTAAGCCTGAAGGCAGGACTTCTTTTCCTTTCCTTTCACTGATCTGTAAATTCTTCTGGAAGAGTTTCCAGTGGAAAAATAGATTAATGCTTTGAATAAAGAAATAATAAATTATACACGTAGAAAGTGGTAATTAAACTACTATTTCCATCTTCGCAATTATGACATTTATCAGTAGATGTCAGAATGCACTGCATGAAATGGTGTTTAGAACACTGGATACCTAAAGCACTTATGAAAAAAATGCTACATACAGTGGTGCCCCGCTAGACGATTACCCTGCAAAATGGTTTATTTGCTAGACGATGAGTTTTTGCGATCGCTGTAGTGCTTCGCAAAATGGTGTTTGCTATGGGCGATTTCCGATGGACGATGTTTCGGACTATGCTTTGCAAGACTTTTGGGGGGGGATCATATTTTGCAAGATGATGATTTTAACAGCTGACGCTGGAAGATGTTTCGGACTATGCTTTGCAAGACTTTGGGGGGGGTGTCATATTTTGCAAGATGACGATTTTAACAACTGATCTGCGCTTTGTAAAACGGGTGTTTTCGGGACTGTTTTTCACAAGACAGCAATTTTTACAGCTGATCGGTGCTTCACAAAACGGTTTCTCTATGGGCGATTTTCACAAAACGACAACTATTTTTCCCCATTGGAATGCATTAAATGGATTTCAATGCATTGCAATGGGGAACTGCATTTCGCAAGACAATGTTTTCACAAAGCAATTTCAGTGGAACGAATTAACATTGTCTTGCGGGGCACCACTGTATTTGTCTTTCTAATTTGTGCGATGCACTAGATGTTGTGAACTCAGCAAGTATTATATGAAATGTAGGATCTTTGTTTGATTTAACCTGCAATTTTATGTAACACATAGAAATGTTCAATACATATGTAGGATTAAAAGCCATAGAAATCAGGAGTTTCAGTTTGCCTGAATTTTATGTTAGAGAATTCTTTTATTATAACTATTGTGATCATGTATAAGTTACCTCAGAAACTGATTTTACCAATATTCTGGTTGTACTAACTTAGTCAAAGACTAATCTTATAAAGATAATAAATTTCAAGAACATATTGCCATGCATAATGTTTATTGTATGTAGTGTTGGTATGGATAAGAACTTTGAAAGAAGAAAGCAACCAAACTTACATTAATTTTCCAGACTGTGACAGCCTCCTCACACGACACAAAGGAGCTGCCACGTCGCACTCACACTCACTTTATTTCACGCTGCCACCAACCATTCCCTCA